TATGAGCTATTTTTCAAAGCTTCGTTACACAATGGATCTATCAACCTGAGTGGATCCCCAGAACAACCCACCTAATCCTACATTTAGATAGTTTTGAGGTCTGGCATTTTCATGATGAAACAAAACTTGTTTTCTGTTGATCAATCTAGATCGGTTATTCACGATTGTTTCGTTCTAGCAGTCAACGACCAAACTAACCGTATCAATAGCTAGAGCAGCCATTGAAATGATACCCTTTCAATCCCATCACAATCTTAACATAATCTTATTTCCCGTCCATCCGTGCTTTCAAATCGTTTGTTGAGAGTCAGCGGATTTGATCATGATCACTTGCATTGGATGTTCTCGTATTTAATTCACTTTCCGTTCACTTAAAAAATGTTTCAATTTTGTTTCATTCCAGCATTATTTCACTGATAATAGTTCAGTGAATCAAATTTCTTTGTGTTGATTTAAGTGGTACCTAAAAATTGCGCTTTTTTGTGTTACCTCATCTGTTTAAATGATTCCAAACTATCATATGATTGATGTTTAACATCTCCACTATCTTCTGACAACTTAAGTGTCAGTCTTGTTCCATAAAAATAAATCACCCTTTTTAGAGACTTCTTACCCATAAGGGTAAGGTCGTGTTTAAATATAAATTTCCAAAACGTTATCGAGTAAACTAGTTCTAGGGCTGGCGTTCAAACACGTTGTCCTCACAGTAAACCACATTATTTTTTCAGCATACATCTTCAATAATTTCAACTTTTTTATGGTAATAGAGCGTTACATAGCATTATGTCTCACTTATTTTCAAAAAAATTGAGATGTTTTTACATGAGAGTCAAATTTAATATTATTATATGAAATGACACATTTCAAGCACGTGTGCTGTTAACATAATCGGAATAGTATTATCAGATATATGAGTACTAATGCATTCTGGTGTCAAAAAGTAACTGATTCTTACCCATACCAATATATACTTTTAAATATATTGAGTAAATAATTAAATTGATTTTTAATATCCGTTTTATTAAAATAAATTAATTTCTAAATATAAACTATTGTCTTCATTAAAGAGATATTAATCGAACAGTCGTGCATTTATAACAACAAAAAATATTATTAATATATTTATTTATTTTTTTTTTTTTGTATATTATTTTTAATTAATTGAATTGAATTTTTGGCAGACCATACAGCTGTTTCGAGTGTTACTAAATACCCACCAACATTGTTCTTGCAATTATTTCTTATATATAAATAACAAAGTTTGTGTTTATATATATATTATAGGAAAATGGAAAACTATATTATGCAAGCATATACAATTCTATTAATTAAAAAACTTTATTTACAAATTTATCCAGTACTCAGTAACGTACCAATTTATTATCAGAAGATTCAAGAGTTTATTTTCATAAAGTCGTTCACACCTCAGTGCATCTCGTATTCTCTCCTTTAATTAACAAAATTTTGCACTAAAAGTTAAGCTCAAATTCAGATAGCTCGACTGCATTTCGCGAAAAATAATTTTATGCACTTTTATTCATAAACTGAATTAAATAAAAACAATATTTAAAACGACAGCCAGTTCTGCATATAATAAAAAAAAATTGTATTTACAAAAAAAAAGTTGAAAAAAAAATATTAGCAAAAACAAACAAACATTTATGAAGAGATTTTAAATGTGAAACAACTTTTGTGTAATTTTGCTAATGACCGTAAGCATCAAATGGCAGAAAGGCAACCTCCATAGCCTCCACAGCATCCAGAGCCTCCATAGCCTCCATAGCCTCCACAGCATCCACAGCCTCTATAGCCTCTACAGCCTTTAAAGCATCCATAGCGTTCATAGCCTGCACAGTCCAACTTGCAACCTTCAATGTGGCCATATTTTTGTTGGCCTTTAGTACCGCTTCCGGTTCCGTTCTACGCCTGCTGGCAAACAGTTTATGCTGCTGCTACCGTTGCTTCGTTAAAAATTTTGTACTAAAAGTCGTTTGAGTTTTTTTTTTTTGTTCTTGTATTTTATTTTTTATTAT